TATTAAATATACATTTAAATATCATTTTAGTTAAGAACCTTCAAGATTTTTCTATTTGGGTTTTTGAACTTTCAACGTACCCATTTTGATATTTTAATTTTTAAGTATATTACATATTTTTGGTTGGGAACTTTTCAAAGTTTTTCTATCTTGCTTCAAGACTTTCACACCATTCATTTTGGTCCTTGATAATTTAGGTTTATTTAATTTTGGTCATGAAAAATTTTTTGAATGAGTAATTGTGACGTTAACTTTAGTTGTAGCTTAATTATGCTATAATTGACAATTTTTAATAATTATATCTAAAAATATAAGTAACATTATTATGAAAATAACAATGTAAAGAAAATTTCATAAAAAATCACGAAAAATATAGAAATTTGTTAAATTGTTTCAATTAGTTGATGAAACCTTAATTGTAAGTTAACTAGAATATAGTTGACCATTTATAGTATTATATGTAAAGAGGCCTGAAATATTTATTACATAATTGAAAAATATATGAAATATATTTGGAACGCTTAGTAAATCTAGATAATGATGTCAATCTAAGTACAACTCAATAGATGTTGATGGTTTGATTACCAATAGTTGAACTCAACAAAATAAAAATAAAAATAAAATAACATGTTTTAACTTAAAAGAAAGAAAAATAATAATAATAATGACAATAACGAAATAAAATAATATATATATATATATATATATATATATATATATATATATATATATATATATCTTATCCACATTAAGCTATGTTGATGCTGGGATTCTGGTAGATCGGTTCTCTCCACTCCGTGTACCAACTCGAACTCTTCAAGACCAAATAACTACAAAACTGAATAAAAAAACCTAACCCAGTCACACTGGCTCCAATGCCTAAGTTAGTCAAAGGGAAGAGACCACTAAACTAGTAAGGTACTTGAGAAGGTAGTTCTGGCTTACCTTTGAGAGGTGACCCATTTCCTATTTATAGTCGAATAGTTCCATAGGGTTTCCCAGTCGGCTAACCCTAGATTTGAGATCTTGTAGGCCTGTAGGTAGGAGGTGAATTAACCATAGGTTCTTGATAACCACGGGAGGGTAAAGGATGGGGCTCGGCTTTGGGTCGAGCACGACTCGGTGCCGAGAAGGGGTCAGGACCGAGCTCTGCTCGGTTCGGCCCACCACTCATGGGTCGGCCCACTTGGTTTGTCTTTACTGTAATCTTTAACCCACAACAAGCTATAAATAATTTTATTAAAATAGTTAAATAAAATTATTTGAATAAAATAAAGAAAACGTTAAATTAAAAGTGAAATGAAATCCAAAGAAAATAAGAATAGTCTTCAGCCTTGTATAAAAGCCATCATCCACCACTATTCCAAGACTCAAATGACTTGCATGCATGGGCTGACTATGGTATACTGAAACGGGCCAAATTGGTAGATTTGAGGCCCAAATGCAATATCATTTTTCTCAAGATTAAAATTGTTGATATCATGAAATTTCGGTCGATATTTCGACATTTTGAGATTATCCTCTTTGCTCGAGCTTGACTCCACGCATTTCTTGTTGTCAATCAGAACATAGTTCAACAGATTAAAGTATGAGTTTGAAGTTTAAATCCCCACTCCACCCGTTGTACTAAAAAAAAAGAAATTATCCTCGATAGAAGGGGGAAAACAAAATTCTCCTCCTATAAACATGTTGACATGTCGTTCCACATATTTGATACTTTGATTAAGATCGGTGTTTGTTCAGTTTGTTGTTTATCATCTAATCTCTCTTTTATCACATAACTTTGCTTTTCTTTCAGCTAATTAAATGTTGTTATACGTCGTTTTGCAAACAGTTTCAAAATACGTTGTGCCTACCTACGATACCTCAAAATGATGACTGCTCGTGATGATGAAGCTTATTGCTCTTCCTTCAGCTAATTACTTGTTCTTATATACTTATGTTATTGATAATATTTTGTTTCAAGAAAAATAACAATACTTCGTTTAAAATAAAAATAAGCCAAAAGATTGAAAATATTATCGTCATTGGAACTAGAAAAAGGAAAAAAAGAAAAAAAAACATCTCGCATCCCCTAATTCCTTTTTATGCAATTGACTTCATCTCATGTCAGCAAAATTTCTATAAATTCATATAAAGTAAATTAAAATACGGTAAAATACATTTTTATTCCTATTTAACCAAATAGAAATCTATATTTGGTCACTCAATTTTAAAAGTGAACGCAATGTCAACATTGTATTGATGAGTTAACAGCTTTCTCACTCTCTCCCTCCTCACTCGACCTAGTTAGTGACTAAATAAAAACATATTCTCAAACTCAATGATGAATAGTTTATTTCACTCAAATTTTAATTATAATTAGTAATAGAATTTAAAAGGTTTTGTAGTTTTAATAAAATAAAAATTATTTTAAGTTTTACGATTGTATAAATATCCTCTCTCTAACTTTTTTTTTTCTACAAATTGTCTTTTTTCAACACTTATTTTGTGTCTTCTTCCTCCCTCATTTTCTTCTTTCTTTTAAGTTTAATACACATGCGTACCAATCTCTCAGGTAGATGTTTTGGAGTTACTTTGTGATTGAAAAATATAGTTTATAATTTTCTTTTTACTATTTTTGTTTTAAGAGTTTATGTATACCTATTATTCTTTAATTTAATACTTACAAAAATTGAAACTGATTTTATAAATTGATAAATTTATAATTAATTCTAAATTTGAATGTATGATCAGATAAATTGAAAAATAGGTATAACACATGTTAAACAAAGAGTCAAAGAAACCACTAATAGAGATTAAAGAATTAAGAGCAAGTAGGGCCCAATTTTCATGAATGAAAAGTTGGAAAATATTTCAACTTTGTCCCTTTCTCTATCAACATCCCTCTCAACTGTCTACTTTATGCTGAGCACTAATTTAAAGTAATATTTTATAGGTATATGATGTTATTAATGTACGGATATATACTCTACATCCTAGAATGTTGGTATAGCAGCAAGAGACTTGAGTGTTAGACACCTTTAAACATAATTCAATTAGCTAAAGCAGAAAAAAAAAAGTTGAAACTTTGACAATAAACCATCCCTTTACTCGCTATAACTAATTCTAAGACTTATCATAATTCCAAAACAAATTTCTCCCACTAAAAAGGAGGACTACATCTTTCTTTTCTTTTTTTAACCATATTGGAGCACTAATAAGTCAATGATATTTTGCTATTTTTTAAACATTTGCTTTATAATATTTCATTATTTAATCATATGTTTACTTTTTATTTCTTGATGAATTAAGAATTAGAAAATGTCATCATCAGGTACAAATATTTCCACATATTTGTTTCTAAGTTTCCGGTGATCACATTATCTCGATTCAATGCATTTATTTCTTGATATAAGAAATAACCAATGGTAAAGATAATCAAACTTTTCTTTAAAATGTAGCAATGACCGATGGGCATAAATATATTTGATATTTCAAAATTGAGTAAATTATATAATAAGGAAAAAAAACATAGAAAACAAAATACTTTAGAGAGTACGAGATGATTGTTTGATATGTTTCAGATTTTTTTTCTTTCTTATTTCGCCCAAAACTTTCAAGTGAATTATATAATTTCCCCTCCAAAAAGAAATGGAAAAAATTAAGAACAATGAATGGAAGCTGAAAAAAAAGACCAGAATCATCCATTTCAATTTTTTTTTTTAAGAAAGTATGATTGTGTTTCGATTAACCCGAAGCATGAAATATTAAAAATAGACTATAAGGATTTTACATAGAAAATGAAAATGATCACCACAATCCAATTTGTTTTTACATTCATTTGATTTCAAATCAACGGGAAGTATACCTAATTTAGGTAGTTGGTTTCATCTCCACCGTCCATCAAAATTAGATTTTGAAATAATAATACTATTTTAAATAAAACTTTATACCTTCTCATACAGAAAGAACACCAAAAAAAGAAAAAAAAAGGTTTGATAATCGATACCACATTATTGCTTAATCCTACCATGATGCTGACCTTAATTAATTTTTATTAAGAAAGAAAAATTCAATGGCGTGAAATCTTATCCAATGACGTGTAAAATAGAGAAAAAAATAAATAAAAATGAATGGTCAGATTTCTACTCCCCTTGTCCTCATTTGATTGCTTTCCACTTATCCCTGTCGATGCTTAGCTGCCCGCTTTCTTACGGGGCTGCCGCAGCCTTCATCTCAATTTCTCGCCTCAAAATTTCTCTCAATTTCTTTTCAACTTATAAATTTGATATTACCATTTTTATTTATTCTAGATAAGGTTTTCTAATTTGGACAATGTAGATACTTTAGAGAGAATTATGAAAATTAGAGATATTCATACAAATTTTTTTGGGTTCATAAATAAAAATTTAATGCTAGCCTATAATTAATTATTTTTAACCATCATATTTAAATATATAAGTAATATATTTATACAACTTGTTGTGTTTTCTAGATCGCCTTCCGTCATTATTTTCAACTTTTCTTTTTTCTCTTTGCCAATCTTTGAATTTATCAAAAACTAAAAAGACATTTAGTACAGAAATTTTTTTTTTAAGTTCTATTGGCCCTTCGATCTAGATTTTCTCTTGAAAAACAAGAGATCCCCTTCTTGACTAATTAGAATCTCTCTGCCATTATTCCCCCTTTGTCGACACGTCGAACAACATGTCGATGTGTCGGTCGACATTTGAAACAGAGATTCTAAAAGATAATTTTTTTTTATAAAGTAGACAAAATAGGAAAATACTTGGATCCTGATCTTTAACGTTAAGGAGAAATATTGTCCTTACCACTGTTTATGCAGAAAACTGGTGCGGTCCGACCTAGAAGAGGTCGGACACGTGGAATAGCTAACTCGTCTAGTTGGGGGATGACCTGCACAAGAGGGGCAAGCTATTCGACACTCAAGTCAGTAATCAGATAGGTTCAAGGTAGACCTGAATATGGTATTTGTCTAGGTGGACATGTTCGTGTATGTGACTTTATGATTTTCACTCAAACAACCATCATTAAACGTTGAACAACTAAAAGAGAAAAATGAAACGAATTAATGAGTTATCAATTTTTCAACCGAGGCGAGAACGAGATTTGACAAGTTAATTAAGCCAAGTATATTTTGGTACAAAATATGATGAGTGGGTGAATAATAGTGAATGGTAGAGCCATAATAGAGATGGAAGCCGGAACCGGAAGTGGACCACTGAGCCAATGAAGACTTTTGTTTGTTTTTTTGTTTTTTTTTTTTTTTGTTGTGGTTTATAAAATAAAGCAAATTAAGCAGAGGGTGTAGTGTGTAGGGAGAGAAATCAGTAATTCGCGTACACCATGAGTTTCCTCCAAAACATCTGGGACGAAACCCTTGCCGGTCCTCCGCCGGATTCCGCCCTGGGACGCCTTCGCAAGTACAATTCCTTCGCCGCCCACAGATCTCCGCCGATGACGATCTCCATTCCTAGCCCTACTACCCTCTCTCACACTCATGACTCGCGGCCGCCGCCGACTCCACCGCCGGTGACGCCTCGAGACGACGATATCAAGAGACTAATCACGAGGAGAAGATCTCTTGATTTTCCTCGCCCCCTGGAACTCCCTGACCGAACAACCCCTTCCGTTTACGATTGGTAATTACTTTTTTTTTTCTTTTTTAATTCCTTTCATTTTATTGATATATATATGTGTGTATATATATATTTATTATTATTATTGTTCATAGGATCGTAATAACAGCTCTAGATCGTTGACGGAAGATCAAGAGATGACTGCTCTAATTTTATGCGGAAACGAGGCATAAATCTCTTTAATTCTCTTTTGTTCAACCCAATTATATTAATATGTATATATCTATATCTTTGCTTTTTTTTTTTTGTCATTTTTATGTACAACAAATTTCCTTCCAGATGTACAAACTAATAATTACTGTAGTCAACAAAGGAGCATGACTATTATGTAGTTGAGACTGAGTTCGTTTTCTCGCCTCAAATATTGTACTTGAAAAAACAAAATCATATGATCGAATTTCATCCGTAACAAAGTAAATTAAAAACTGATTCTCTAAGATATAATTAAGTTAAACATCACATTTCTCCTAATCTAAGTTTAATTAGCAAATCATGTTATTATCTGTTTTTGGGATTTTGTTTGCCACGTTGTATTGCTGCTGCCTCTCGATTGAAAAAGAAGTAGAGAGGAAAGAAGAAGAAAAATGATACAATAATTTTACGTGAAAAACCCCTAAACGAATAAGGGTAAAAACCACATGCAAAGAAGAAGAATTTCACTCAAAAGTTAAAAGTTACAAACTTTCTTTTTTAGGAAAACAAAATCTCTCCCAATAAAAAACTCTTTATATCTTTATCTCACCAAACCTCACACTCAAATTTTAGCTTACTTGGAATTAGAGATTTTTGGGACGGTCTAATAAGTATGGGTGACCACCTATTTATAGTCTAACTATACTTGCTCAACGAGCAAATTTCTAAGGCTACAAATGTGTCACATATTAGTCTTGGATAAGATGATGATCTAGTGACCATATATTTACCACATATTTCACTCTAGCTAGTAGCTTCTAGTTACTTCAACGGAAAAATTTCGTGAGCAAGCTTTGTAAAATCATTAATCTAGTAGTTTCTAAAGACTTTCAAGGAGGCTTCTTGAGTAAACTTGAGAAATATTATTTAACACTTTCAACCCTTCGGTTACAGATAATAAAATTGGAATTGAGGTAAAAAACACATAAAATATTACTTACTCTTCCAACTCATGTATTCAACTTTTTCTTTCCATGCATACTCTCATGGGCCTTTCAATCTCATGCTCCTCAATGAGTGAATCCTATAAAAGGAAATTATAGGTTATTACATCTCCTTTTATCTATATATTCCACACAACTCTTGCTAAGTTATCAACTAAAATCATGTGCATAATGTCTTGATTTTGAAGGGTATTTAAGTGCACACAATCGAACAAAACTACTGTTACTCTAGCTTGGGAAACAAGCTAGGCTTGCCCATCTCTTCTGTTTGCTACGTCGTTTTAAAGCGCTTTGGTTATGTGTAATTCCGCTCCTACCCGTACCCGCGCTTATAAACTATAGATACCTTCTATGATTTAAAAGTTTTCAATTTGATCATGTTAAAAAAAATCATGTACCAGTTTCTAATTTTGATAGCAAAGTAACATATATATATATATACTAAATTTAAAAATGATAGTTGAGATTTGGTCCAAGGTAGGAACTAAATAGAAACTTTTAACATCATAGGACTCGAATTAAAACTAGACCGGGACAATAGGACTAAATTAAAACTTTTAAGACCACATATATCAATTTTAAATTTTGTCCAAACCATAAAAGATTAGATGGGTAAAGTTCAAGTTTCTTTGAACTTACAACATTACCTGATAACATACGTTTCCTCTTATTTATAATTATTTCTTTAAATCAACATTTATATAGCATTTAAGTTTTACTATTTTATATTTCTCTCTTTAGTTATAATAATTTTTTTTTACAACAGGTAAGGGTGCAGGTTTGAACTCATGACCTTTTGATCAAAAATAGATGTCTTAACCAGCCCTAATTATAACAATTTTGAACAGATACATACATGTATGCGTGTACATATAATTATTTTCTTAATATGTTTTTATGTAAATGATGCAATATTATTTATGTGTTTATCCCTTTAATTCTGTCTATTTGGGTTCCTTGGGCCCAATTTTTGTACTCGGCAGAGATGATCATAAAGGGCTAATATATATAGCGCAATACGTTTCTTGGACGTCAGATCTCGGCTGCGCGTGCGCTAGGCGGAGACGTTCCGGAGAAATTGTTCCGATTTCCGAATGAAATTGCTGAAGAACTGAAGAAGAAAAGAAACCGAAGAAATTCAATTCTCTTACCATTACAATAAAATCCAATTTGTCCATTTAAAATACTGTATTGGTTGGTAAATTCCTCCGTTAATTTCACAACCCTTTAAATCCTCTAAATCAAATCAGAACCCCAATGCAATAGTCAGGTATGATTAAAATTCGCTTTGTTTTCTTTGTGATCTTTCATCTTTTTCCCGCACAATTTAAACGTTGCAGTGGACAGTGGAATTGTGCTTCCGCAGAGCACGCTGTAAACACTTTCGTTCCCGAATTTGATTCGGGTTTTGGTTTTCTAGGGGGTGAATGACTACGTTGTCGCTGTGCGTTGTAATTGGGATTTTAAACGAGTTTTCTAGTCATTGTTAGATCGAGAAAACAATCGGTTCATTTTTTCGAAAATGTTATCTCCGATGAAGAACACATTTCTTCATCATAATTTGGCGGAATTTAAAGTATTTGGGTTATTCAGTTCGATTTGTTAGAATTTCAGTCGATTAATTTACTGCTGAATCGCTCCGAAAGCGGTAAGGGGCTTGGAAATACTATCATTGTCACGTTAGAAACAAGTGTTCAGCATTTGAATCATTAATAAGTAGTATCTCAGTTTATCTTTGTTCTTATTTTTCTATCTTTCTTTTCTTTTACGTAATTTATATGTATTTCAAGTTTTCACTCCCGATCGTATTGAAATTGTTTCTTGCTTGGCCCTGAGACGATTTGACTAATGTGCTGGATGGTGTTTCAAATTTCACCATGGCTGTGTAGGTGTTAAATTAAAGATGGTGAAGCTGACAATGATTGCCCGTGTTACTGACGGTCTTCCTCTTGCTGAGGGACTAGATGATGGTCGTGATTTGAAAGATGCTGAATATTTCAAGCAGCAAGCCAAAGCTTTGTTTAAGAACTTATCAAGAGGACAGAATCAACCTTCGAGGATGTCTATTGAAACTGGCTCTTATGTCTTTCAGTATCCTTGCAACTTGCAAGTTTTCTTTCCATGCACTGTGACATCAGTACATAAGTTATATTCTTGTTGAGCATTCGTTAGATTAGAGTATCAAGTGCCCTTCTCTCAATAATACTCATTGTTATTTGTTGTGTTCATCATATCTTCTCTCTTCTATTTCTTGGGTTTATATTTGTATATTTTATTAAATTTATCGTTATCCGTTCAGTATTTACTTGAAACCAGCTTCGAATTTATTAGAGAAATTATGTGCCTTCCGTGTGAATATATGATATCAAAGTTCAGGTATTTATTTTAGTTTGCTACAAGTAACTATCCCTTATTCTATAGGTCGGAAATGATTTTCTAACGGTTTTGGAAGATTTGAGCTTTTAACTCTTTGGTTTACTGACAATGATTATGAAAGCATTGTTAGTTTTCTTTTAATAGGGCTAGCTGTCTCTGTTATTCTATTATTCTTTATTCTGTTGAACTGCCATTTAGGCAATACCAAGATCATAGTCTAAAGCAGATTTTGGACTTAATACCAACTTACCTAGCCACAATGTACGGTTGTAAATTGCTCTGAACCTTTGGAACTGAAACATTTTTTAAATATTGCTGTTGATTCCATTTCTTTCCCATCTTTATTGACACTATTCGTACTATTATCTTAGAAGTCTCTGGATTTTATGTTTCCTTGACAGCATTCAGTTATATAATTGAGGGGCGTGTTTGCTATTTGACAATGTGCGACCGTGCTTACCCAAAAAAACTTGCTTTCCAGTATCTTGAAGACCTTAAGAATGAATTTGAACGTGTTAATGGGCCTCAGATTGAAACTGCTGCTAGGCCATATGCATTTATCAAGTTTGGTGCGGGCTGACCTTAGACTTAGTTAACTTTGTCTTCATTTCTTCTGTCAAGAACCTTGTTCTCTATGCCTCTTCTTCCGGATTTGATCTTTCTGCCTTTTATGTTTAAAAGATACATTCATGCAGAAAACGAAGAAGCTATATCAGGACACCCGTACCCAGCGTAATATTGCAAAATTAAATGATGAACTCTATGAAGTGCACCAAATAATGACTCGAAATGTTCAGGAAGTTCTTGGTGTGGGTGAAAAGTTAGATCGTAAGATGCTCCCTATATCCTGCCTCTCTCCTCTCTCTCTCCCCCCTTTATCTCATGTCTGTGTGAAGCTATAAAGAGTCGGTGCTGAAATATGTAAATAAAAGCTGTGTGCAAGGTGCTAAGGTGCAAGGAAGTGTGTAGTTGACAAATGGTCACAACTTAATAATATTTTCGTGAGGAAGTGTTAAATCTCTGTTTATGTATTTCAATAGCTTGTTTCCTGTTTCCCTTACATTTGGGACTAATTTCCTTTTTGTGATGATTGGGAACTTTTTTTTTCTGGGTGCGTGGAGGATTGTATGGGATTTTTAGAGGAGAGAAGACAAAAGGCTCTTGTCTTGCTTTACACCAATGTGTATACGTTTTATTTTGAAACACAAACAACTTACAGATATAAGTATAGCGTTTATACCCACTGTTGTTGCTTCATGCATTGGTTAGTTATATCTTCTGGTCAATAGATTGTAAAACATATTCTATGTCTAGTTTTTTTGGCAAGCATTCTCAGCATATTAGTGGCCCCTTGTGACTTGAACAGTTAGGAGGCTATCGATTTGAACTTGTTTGAGCAACTTATGGTGTTGAGTCTGTCGATTGGGTTTGATTTAATGTTTTGCTAATGTTGTTCTTATTAGCAATTAGCTTAGATATTTTTGCAGATCTAGATGTGGTATTGCTTCCATATTTATTTTTCAGTTTTTGATGAATAACAATGTACTTTTTTTATTCTCTTACAATTACTAATTTTGCAGAGGTTAGTGAAATGTCAAGTCGATTAACATCAGAATCTCGCATTTATGCTGACAAGGCAAAAGACTTGAATCGACAGGTTAGTTTCATCATATGTGTGGAATTTGTGAGGGAGTTTTACTCCAACCAACTTATTGAAAATCTTGCATGTCTTATATGGCTATTTGTTTCATTATCTGTATGTAATGAATGTGTACTGTTGCCGCAAATCTTAAGAACAGGTAGTTGCTGCATACAATTACACACATAAACTTCTCTGGAGATCAATGAGGTTTCCAAAAAAGTTTCTTTTATATCATGGTTATTTAAATAGCTCGCAATTTGTATCCTGACTTAGGTCTACGTCTACATTGAAAGTTAACAAGTGGAAGTCCTATATTATATGTAGTGTTGTGGTTTCAGATTATTGAAATTTTCTTGGAATGAATTTTAAATGACATGAATTAGGCGTTAGTTGTGATAACCTAAAGATTAGCTGAGGGTCATTAAGCTTTGAATCTGAATATGGACTTGAGCTACTCTGCCATGCTAGATGAATATAATTATTGTAGACCTATCCTAGAAAGATTTGCGTTACTAAACTGTGTAAACCCAGGACCTTTCAGCTCCAAAAAAACTAAACTGCGTTTCAGGGATTGTTTGGGACTATGATAGGTTTTTATGGTGCTTGATTGGTACAATTTGAATCAAGTTTTTTTTTTTATTGATAACCTATCATGTGGGATTGTTTTGAGGAGACGTAAAATAAGTTATTGGGATGAACTTTTTTATTTTTCTTCATTAAGAAAATTCTGTTTTACTAGTACATTGTGGTCTGGTTCAAAATTTCCTAAGAATAGACTTGTTGAAATCTGATAATTCAGAAAATGGTCCAATGAAACTATTGTTTGCCGGGTGTTTGAAAAACTCCAGTGTATACCATCCATTGATTAGTCTTGCCTTCACGTTCTATACTTGTATTTGTAGGCTTTGATTCGGAAGTGGGCACCTGTAGGTATCGTGCTTGGAGTCGTAATTCTCCTATTCTGGGTGAAAACAAAGATTTGGTAACCCAATTGCCAATTCTAATCTGAAATATTATGAGGCTTCTTCAACGCCGTGGATTGCTGCATGCATTTTTGGCGTAACTCGAGACTATGGAGTCCATGTCTCAACTTTCAAGGTGGGATTGAGTTAGAACACACGTTTTGTATGCAAAGGGGAAGATGCTCCCTCGTGAACTGTGAGGATTCCCTCCATCTAACAGTTAGATTAGTGAGAACATTTACATCTTCTGTATGATAAGTATTGAACATTCATAGATCTCTGCCCTTTTTTCCCTTTTCTTGGGAGGGGATGGGCTTTGTTTGACCACATTATTTCTGTTCTATATTTTCTTTAGGATGATATTCCTTTTGTTCTCTTCTACTTGAATGACATTGAATAAAGATAGAAGGTACAGAGTCCAACCCCTTTGAAAACCAATAACGTAATCGATCTTATTATGCCACGTTTCTGGAAAGCAATGAAGAAATAGATTTGTTGCATAGGACACCAATTGATAATGGGTAATTCTGTTTGATGGCAGGCTCATGTTGGTCTGTTTGAGAAGGAAAATACTTGGTTCCTTGATGGTAATAAGCAATATTGTCGTTAATAACTTAGTATCACTAAATGTTTGACAATTAATAAAATGACAATTAAGAGAAGGAAATGCAAAATTAATTTTTTTTTTTAAATAATGAGTTGTGAATTTTTTTAATAGTGGTGTGGACATGATGTGGTCCTTGTTCGGCTCCTAATGGTAAGAATTAATCTTGTCTCCACCTCTAAGTCCGACATCGTTTTCGTCAATTTAAACACATTTGAATATTCATCGTATTTTGGCATCGGCCGTCACCATCCGTAATGAAATTATTACAATAAAACAGAGTACTTGGATTGCTAATGGATCAACAAATTAAGTTGATCGATATCTTCTAAACTTCCACTTCTACTAGAGAACACGCAATCATAGGCCACAGTCCTATATTCGACTTCAACTTCTCTTAAGAGTCTGGATTTTCGTAGAGGTAACCAGCTCAACCCATTTTCCATTGAAGCCTGCACTTTCCAGTTGGGTCAATATAACAGGAGCGTCAAGCCTCAAGGTAGAAACTGATTCGAGTTCTATCAATTTTTTTGCGCAATGATCACGTTTTTCTGTTCTCTATAAACTAGTGACCCAGTGTTGTTCCCCACTTTCAATGTCTGTAAGCTTACTTTTTGCTGATCTTCTGCATTCTTAAGTGTATTTTCATGAATCTTTCAGGGAAAAAAAAGTGTGTTTTCATGAAGATTACCATGTTTCATTCCATTAAGAGTCCAAAGTTTGTGGGTCATCTTGCTCTTCTCTATGCTTCAGTTTTACATATCAAGAAAGTAACCTTCTAAAAGAATTACAACTTAATAACTTGAGCCTATGTGTGTATGTGTTATGTGCCATATGAATTTTGGCTAACCAGTACGTTGGTACTGTATGATTCAGTGGGAGAAACGGGGAAGTCTCATCTCCCTCTCCTCAAGAAGTAGATTAAGATCGTTACAAAGAAAATAAAAGGGAAACTATGCAAGATACTCAATGATTGTGCTGAACTTTTTAGCACGACCTTCATATATTCTTCTACTATTTGGACAACATAATTATCCATCTTAAGTCCTTACTAGAAGCTAAGTTGCTTTCTCATTTTGGGTTGAGAAATTATGTACACAACAAACTGCTAGAGGATGACGAACCAAAACTTAGAACAGCCATGGTAGCTATGCTTTTCGTCCTGGTTTAAATAATTTCTTTATTTGATTACTGGGTGTTGTAGAGATCTCACTCTTCCTCTATTTGGGTGCATCATCCTACTGTACAGTACGCTTAATTCATGGCACCGAAAGCTCCCATTATAAATTTGAGAAAGTTCAGAAAATCCTCCGGTGCCTTTTATGCTTGCTTGATTTATGGTGGCAGCTGTTACTCTTTTCCCAACAAATTTTAGTACCAATCACTTAATAATTCTTTAGTCTCTATTTTGTCAGGATAAAATGTCTTCTGAGCCGATGAATGTGAATGACTTCAAAGAATTGGCTAGGCAGGCACTTCCAAAAATGTATTATGATTTCTATGCAGGGGGTGCTGAGGACCAACACACACTTAGAGAGAACATACAAGCTTTCCATAAAATCACGTAATTCTGAAGCTAACTGATGATTGTTATGAGAAAAAGTGAGGCTCTATGTTATTCATCATTTTTATGATTTTCAGGATCCGACCTAGAGTTCTTGTGGATGTGAGCAAAATTGATATGTCAACAACCATATTGGGCTATCGCATATCTGCACCTATCATGGTTGCTCCAACTGCAGCACATAAGCTAGCATACCATGAAGGTTAAACCTCTTAGTGCATTGCTTAGATTTTTTTTCCTTTTTCTTGATAAGGATGGCTAACTTAGTTGAGAACTGGTTTTCATTTTACTCTTCCTTGATGATTTTTGTGTTCTTTCAGGAGAACTAGCCACGGCCAGGGCAGCAGCTGCTGCAAAAACCATAATGGTACTAATGTGACTACAATCTAGAAGTTACTTAACTTGTACAGTCATAATGGTAATTGAATTTAGTTGCCTTTGTTTGTAGGTTCTATCCTACTCTGCGACCTCTTCAATAGAGGAAGTTGCCTCTAGCTGTGATGCTGTCCGTTTTTTTCAATTATATGTAATGGCCCTTCTGTTCTTTAAGTATCCTTTCTTCAATCCTTCCCTGCAGCAGCAATCCAATTATATGCAAGTTTTAATTTAGTTTCTCTTTCTATAATAAGGTATTCAAAAGGCGTGATATCACAACTCTGCTAGTAAAGAGAGCTGAGAGATCTGGATACAAGGCAATAGTCCTGACTGCTGATACTCCTCGGCTTGGAAGAAGGGAGGCTGACATAAAGAACAAGTAGCAATGTTTCTCATCTCAGTTTCTTTTATCTCATGCATAGCGTTATTTTTGCTGGGTATAAAATGCTTCAATGGAATTGGGATGACTGTATCATAACTCTTAAATCGTGAGATAGAATCCTTTTTATTCCTTTGTCTTGCATCAATTGTAAGCTGTGCCTTGATTTTTGTCTCATCTGGAAAAGCATTTGGGTGAATTTGTAGAATGATTGCACCTCCAGTGAAGAATCTTGAAGGCCTCGTATCGGTTGAAATTAACTCTGTGAGTAATAATTCAATTACCTGATCTAGAATATTGGAATTACCACTTACCATAGAGGAATTTTGTAATCTAACTACCATCCATTTCATGGTATAGATTATATGCCCTACTATTTTACTGAATATACTTATTTGCATGGTTCTTTGGATCAGCAATTTGGGCTGTGCATACATCCAAGTTCCCTTTTCTCTTACCTCAAGTATACTACCATGCATCTTAACTCACAGCAACAAGAATTTCAAAACATCATTTCTGCTGCTCTTAGGCTTATTTTATAATAAATTTTAACAAATGATCTTATGCAGGATCAAGGTTCAAAATTAGAAGCTCATGCCAATGCGACCTTGGATGCATCTCTGCGCTGGGAAGTATGTACAATAAACTGCTCAGATTCCTATCATATACTTAAATGTCTGCTTATGAAGATTTAACTTTGATGCTTAATAAGTTTGGGAGGATATCCTTTCATGTGATTCAGTAATATAACGACTTCTATGTTATATAGACTTCTCTCTACCATAAGAATGGATGTACAGCGTTTCAGAAATTTTAGTTATATCATTATTTCAATGAAAGTACTCAAAAGTTTCATTTTCTGAGATTCCCTATACGTATAAATTCTTTCTAATTCAGTTATAATATTTTACTGTCTACAGGATATAGGATGGTTAAGATCAATCACTAGCCTGCCAATTTTGATCAAGGGAATTCTTACTCATGAAGATGGTAAGGTTAAGTTATGTCTTAAAGACATTTGATCCAGGAAATGAGCCTTCTTTTATCTCTATCAGATGAATATTCCAAAGTAACATATTTTAAATTGAATTCAAATGCTACAACTACAATTATGAACTCATTTAATCTGTCAATTAAGTTTCTGATATGATGATGAAGTAAAAGACATGATGACTAGTGGAAAAGTTTATCCATCTTGGACCACACAATTTCATTTCAACGTTTTGAAATTTTATGCTTGAGTGCCTGGTCGCATATTCTTTTCCTTGGTTAATCTCCTTCTGGTTTATAAGTTATGTCAGTCCGCATCGATAGCCCATTTAATTCATTGACATGCTTAATGATTGGCAGCAACTAGAGCTGTGGAAGCAGGTGTTGATGGAATTATTGTCTCCAATCATGGGGCCCGCCAACTCGATTTTGCTCCTGCTACTGTTTCTGTTCTTGAAGAGGTAAGTTTCATTTTTCACTACTTTTCTATTGGCCAAAGATGTGAATTTCACAGTACCTCTGTTCTCTTTTCTTAAATCAAAACCTGCCTTCTGTAAAGGATCTTGATTGATTCTTGTATGTGGATCTGCTCAAGTTTTCTTTTTTTAATTGTAAGCTTTCAAATCAAATCTTTATTTTGAAATATTGAATTATTTTGCATAACATGCTACTTTTTAGTAAATGGTCCTTCTTCAATCACCGTATGCTGCAGGTTCAGATCCAGATAAATGCAAAGTGTATACAAACTGATATGTTTTGTGTAGAGTTCAAATTGCTATATCCTGTCCTTTACTCGCACATTCTTTCAAAAATTTGGTGATGCATTTCCATATTACTGGATATATGAAAGCAACATGTAAATGAGTCTCTTGTCAGAACCATAGGTCGGCAATGTTAGAGTAGAATGTGAATCAAGCTTACCAAGTGTAGTTGAATAGCATTCAACATCTACAATATGCTTACTTTTCCAATTACTATAATCTTTTAGTTTGTCTTTAAGTGATAAGCATGGGTTTTGGCAGTACAGTTTTAACAGGAAATTTGATGCAGGTAGTTCATGCTGTCAAGGGTAGAGTTCCTGTCCTCTTCGACGGAGGTGTGCGACGAGGAACAGATGTGTTTAAGGCGTTAGCCCTTGGTGCCCAAGCAGTCCTTGTAAGCTCTATACCCCCAACTCATTTTCATTTAAAGTTTCAAAGGATACTCTTCTATTCACGGTCTTCTCATCCCACAAAAAAATTACTCTTCTATTCACAGATAAGAGGTCTCCAAAGTTGAATGTATGCTATTTGGTATATAATTGTCATGTCCTTCAAAGTCACATTTTAATTGGCCTGTTAGGCAATGTATGATAAAATCCTTGGTTCTCACTTCAAACTTTTAATTTAGTCATACCTTTCACCTCTGAGAAATATTCCCTAGAACAGTGTTTTTTCGACTATGGACCGGGATCTTCTCTCTCATGTCAAAATTGATTGTGATTTGATTCAGATAGGGAGACCAGTTTTGTTTGGGCTAGCAGCAAAGGGAGAAGAGGGAGTAAGAACAGTGCTGGAAATGCTCAAGAATGAGTTGGAGATCACTATGGCACTTTCTGGTTGCCCGTCCATCAAGGATATTACTAGAAGCCTTGTGAGGACACAGTATGATAAGCTGCAATCAATGCTTTAATGTGTTTGCGTTATAATATAAGTAAGCAGCTACCTCCTGTCCTGATTTACATAAAGGAGTTCTGCAAGGATGTATCTCCAATTCTTCAGTAATGTTATTCCTAATATTTGGAGACTTCTGATAAATAGCTCTAAAAGTATTTAAACACTTTCCACTCTATCGATCAGAACCTTAGTGAGGAGGCAAAGAAGGATCTTCTGTGCACTTTTAAGACAATCTTAAATCCATGGTTCGCACAAGAGTCCTGAATAATGAGGCTCCTGTGACTTCCCTAAATAACAACAAAAAAATATTAAATCACTAGACAACATAAACAATTAATAGTCAACTTAAGCATGTCTGAGTTGCTTTTTTCTTTTTAGTTCTACGACAATTTGAGAATACGGAGATCGAACCTCTAACTTCAAAGGGAAGAGTATATATCAATTATTGTTGAACTATGTTTATGACTGAGTCGTTAAGACATCACTATTTTATTTAAGGAATCATAGGTTTGAACTCTCGACTTATGTTGTGATGGGGAATACTTTTCTTCAAAAAAATTGAACGGTCTACTGTGTTTTACTCTAGAAATTTGCATCCTTTGATAAATTCTTCTCGTTTTTCCCCATAACAATGTAAAATTTTTACTATCTATTAATAGTTAAGAAAATACAATAGCATTTTTAAGTTCGACGCTTTCAATCCCCATCGGAGTAAATAAATTGCATATAAGTTCATCTAAAGATCGACTTCTAGTAGGTCCAATAATTAGCAATATGCCTTTCAAAAAAATAAAAAATAAATAATTGGCAACATGTCTTCAACTTTTAGTTGAACTTATGTTTTATTCAAGTTGGTGCTCTCGTAGAGCTAACCAGCTTGACCCATTCTGTATTGAAGACTGCACGGGTCAAAATAAGAGCGTCAAGTTAATAATTGATGTCAGCTCTGCCTTATCCATTGGCTCACTGTTTTTCCTCAATTTCAACATCCTCCTGGTGATATCTGTAAGCTTTATTTTGCTGATCTACGGCTTTCTCAAGTGTCTTTTTAAGAAGATTATTTATATTCCGTTCCATTATGAATCTCAAGTTTAGTGGGTCATCTTGATTCTTTCTGGTCGTGGTGTCTCTGAAATGATTCCTGCTTCAGTTTGTACGTATCAAGATATCAAGAGGGTCGCATCATAAAAGAATTCTAAGTTAGTATCTTGTGACGCTGTGTGCGTGTGTTGAGTTTGTGTCATGAATTTTGGCCAACTTGTATGGTGCTGTAACAGTTCCAGCGGGGAAACTGGAAACTCTCATCTCCCCATCCTCAAGAAGTGAACTAAGTAAGATATTTGCCATAGGTTTTCTGGCCAAAATAAATGAGAGAGAGTATAAATCAATGGGTGTACTAATTGTACTCTTTGTCCTCCCTAGAAGTGGGATTACTTTCCCCGTTTTGAGAAGAGAAATTACACATCCAAGGAATTTCTATTGGAAGAAGATGTACCAAAACTTGGCACAATCACTGTAACTGTGCATCCTGGTTTAGAACTTCAAGTAATGTTTTTATTTGATTGCCAGGTGTTGTACAGATCTTATTTTTGCCTCATATGAGTTATATCTATTTGGATGCATCATCCTGCTATACACACATGCTTAGTTCATGGTACCAAAAGCTCTAAAAAAATAATGTTCTAGTCTCTGTTTTCTCAGGATAAAATGTCATCTGAACCAGTGAATGTGAATGACTATAAAGAATTGGCTAGGCAAGCACTTCCAAAAATGTATTATGATTACTATGCGGGAGGAGCTGAGGACCAGCACACACTTAGAGAAAACATGCAAGCTTTCCATAGAATCATGTAATTTTGAAGCTAGCTTATGATTACTGTGAAAAGTGATGCTATATGTTATTCATGAAATTTTAATTGTTTTCAGTATCCGACCTCGAATTCTTGTCGATGTAAGCAAAATTGATATGTCAACAACCATATTGGGCTACCTCATATCTGAACCTATCATGGTTGCTCCAACTGGTGCACACAAATTGGCACACTGTGAAGGTTAAAATTTTTGGTGGATTGCTTAGTTGAGAAATGGATAAATGGTTATCATTCCACTTTTCCTGGTTGATATTTGTCTTCTTTCAGGAGAGCTAGCCACAGCAAGGGCAGCAGCAGCTGCAAAAACCATAATGGTACTAATGTGACTGCAAACTGGAAGCCATTTTACTCATTTGGTATTTGAACTAGTTGGTTTTGTGTGTAGGTTCTATCATATGCCTCATCCTACTCAATAGAGGAAGTTGCCTCTAGTTGCAATGCTGTTCGTTTTTTTCAATTATATGTAAATCCCACTCCTTCGAACTTTTCCTGTAGCAGAAATCAATTGTTTGTTTTTTTAATTGAACTTCTCATTCTGTAATCAGGTTTTCAGAAAGCGTGATATCTCAGCTTTGCTAGTACAGAGAGCTGAGAGATCTGGATATAAAGCAATTGTCCTGACTGCTGATACTCCCCGGCTAGGTAGAAGGGAGGCTGACATAAAGAACAAGTAGCAATGCTTAACATCTTAGTTTCTTTCCTCTCTCATGCATTGCATTCCTTTTGTTGGGCATAAAGTGCTTCATGGAATTGGGATAAGATACATCGTCGTATCATAACTCTTTAAGTCGTGGGATAGGATGTTTTAAGTCATCAAATTTTTAAACAGTGCCTTGGTTTTGTTTCATCTGGAATGGGACTTTGATGAACTTGCAGGATGATTACACCTCCACTGAAGAACCTTGAAGGCCTGTTGTCTGTTGAAGTTGGCTCTGTGAGTAATATTTAACTTCCCTATTTCGGAATCTTGGAGATGCCAGTCTTAATAGAATGATTTCCAATCTCTCTAATGTCCACCGTATGGTATAAGATTGATTGTGTGCCTGCCATTTAATCTGGATAAAGTAAATTTAACTCATGATCTCATATGCAGGATAAAGGTTCAATATTAGAGTCTTTTGTTAACGAGGCTTTTGATGCATCTCTTTGCTGGGAAGTACGTGCAATAAACAGTTCAGATATATATGCATACTTGATTGTCTGCGCTTATGAAAATTTTACTTTGATGCATGATAAGTTTTGAAGGGCATCCCTTTTGTAACTCGATAACTTAACTATTTCTATGTTATATAAATGGCTTCTACAGCATACCAGAAGTTTTAGTAATATCATCTCTTAATGAATTTTTTTACTGCTTAAAAGTTGTCTTTCTTATGTTTGATTTTACTGGCTCAGTTATGATATTTACCGTCCACAGGATATAGGGTGGTTAAAATCAATCACTAGCTTGCCAATTCTGATAAAGGGGATTCTCACTCACGAAGATGGTAAGATTAGAATTATGTCTTAAAGATATTTGAATTGAAATGAACCTTCTATTATCTCTATCAGATTAATGTTCTGAAATAACATATTTTACATTGTATTCAAATACTGGAAGTACGAACTCATTTTATCTGTCAATTAAGCTTCTGATATGATGGCTGCAGGAAAATGCATGATAATGTGTCTGGTTACCCTTTTTTTTGGCTTGATTAGTCCCTTGTTCTGGTTTGTGAGTTATGTTAGTGTCCATGGATAGCCCATTTAATTAGTTAACATGGTTGATGAATGGCAGCAATTAAGGCTGTGGAAGTAGGCGTTGATGGAATTATTGTCTCCAATCATGGAGCCCGCCAACTAGATTTTTCTCCTGCTACTGTTTCCGTCCTTGAAGAGGTAAATCTCATTTTGCACTATTTTTTTATTACGCGAAGCTGTCGGTACGAGGAAATATAATTATTCTTGAATTTCTGCGTAGATTAAATGTTCGGTACCTAACTCTTTTGAAACGTACCTTCTTAAGGGATTGTAAATGACTCCCAGTATCTGTATTGCTCTTGTTTCTCTTTAATTTATAGCTTTTAGACAGATATCACTGCATCCAACTGTTCCTTCACAACTTACTTTGCTCGTGTTGCTACATTCTCTCCTTTACTTGCACATTCTTTCAAAAACTTTGGTGAATTTACACAAGTTTGTCTTGTATGATGCATTTTCCATATTACTTGATATAGGAAAGCAATATGTGAATGTGGCTCTTGTTAGGGCCATAGAATCAGAACCAAGCATACCAAGTGTAGTTGCCCTCAAGGGACAGCGCAGTTGGCAAGTGCTTGGGGTCTCTTGGTCATACTTACTGGCTTAGAGGTCTCAAGTTCGAACCTTCTGGCGAGCTTAATATCAAAAACCTATGATGTCTCCTAGGTCTGGCCCTTGAGGCGGGCACGGGTGCCCCTAGGTATAAGGGAGCAAAGTTTCGACTATCGGTTACCAAGTAGTTGAAATGTTGAATTGCATCACAGTATTATGCTTACTTTTAACAGGAAGTTTGATGCAGGTTGTTCATGCTGTCAAGGGTAAAGTTCCTGTCCTCTTAGATGGAGGTGTACGACGAGGAACAGATGTGTTTAAGGCGTTAGCTCTTGGTGCCCAAGCAGTCCTTGTAAGCTCTATACTCCCAACTCTATCCATACAAAACATTTGAAGTCCCATAATACATTTTCGTTTCAAGTTTCAAATGATTACTACTATTTACAGACAAAGGTCTCCAAATTTTATTCTGTGCTATTTGGTATTTAGTCGCCATGCTCTTCAAACTCACTCAATTGGCCTTTTGGGCCATGTGTGATAAAATCCTTGTTTCTTACTTTCAACTCTTCCTCTCAGAAGTATTTCCAAGAACACTGGGTTTTCTTTTTGTTTTTGTTTTTTTTTTTTTTACTCAAACCCTCGTAATATAGAACTAAATTAAATAGAATACATAGTAACTATCAAAAAATTAAATACAATTATGGTATAAATTAGGTTTAAATACTATTTTGATCCTTGTATTTTTTGCTTTGGTCCATGTTGGTTCTTGTAATTTCAAAACTTCTAGTTTGGTCTTTGTACTTTCAACTTTTGTTCATTTTAGTCTCTGTAAACGTCTCTTTTAGCTACTATACTTTTAAAAAGGGACCATTTTGGTCCCTTTACTTTCATTGTTATCTCATTTATTTTTACCATAATTTTTTTAACAGGACACTTCACTCACTAAATTTCTTGAAATGTAGCCATAAATTTTATTAAAGAGTTTCCATTGTGTTAAAATTTTGCATATCAGGACCAAATTGGACACTTATTAAAAGTACTGGACCAAAACGTATCATTTAATAGTACAAGACTAAAATAAACAAAAGTAGAAAATACAGGGACTAAAAAGAACGTTTTGAAAGTAAGTAAAGATGACTAAAATGAACCAAAGCCAAAAGTACATAGATGGTTTTCCATATACAAAAACACGAGCAATTACGAAACCGATATTTCTTCCCTTCCAAATTTTATGAAATGAAAGCCAAAAAAAAAATAGGTAGCCGAACTCAATTCCTTCAAGTAAATCCAGAAGAAGAAGCATTGTGAAATGAAGTCTTAGTTAACTTGTTCGTCTAACTTGTGACTGGAATGATTGGCTGATTCAGATAGGGAGGCCAGTTATATATGGGCTTGCAGCAAAGGGAGAAGAGGGAGTAAGAGCAGTGCTGGAAATGCTGAAGAATGAGTTAGAGATCACCATGGCTCTTTCTGGTTGCTCATCTATCAAGGACATTACTAGAAGCCTTGTAAGGACACACTATGATCATAACTTGCAATCAATGCTTTAATGTGTTTGCTGATTTACAAAACCAAAGGGCTCAGACTTCTGCAAGGATGCATCTCCAAATTCAGTAATGTTATTCCAATATTTGGCCACTTGGAGACATGGCTTTGTAATCCATGCCCAAAGTTTGGGCTAGTTAGAGCATGTGTGTCGTTGAAGGGGGAACAATGAACATGTATATGTATGTATGTACGTATGAGGTTTTAATGCTGTATCTTGTCTTGGTAATTTTCATCTTCATTTCACCATGACATCCAACAACTTACAAAACATGTAAATGTTGTTTAGAGGGTTGGAGAATGACTAACAATTAAGTTATAAGAGGTAATGAGAAGATGTGTGCTTCTTTTCAGCTTTCTATATATTTATAAAGTCAAAAGTGTGTGTCCTTCAATAAAGAAAAAAAATTCGGAAAATATTTGACTCCTTACCGGTAAGGACCAATCTTGTCATCACTGCCATGAAATGTTTTATAACTAAAAGACTGAAAGGTAAAATAAAGACTTTTTTTTTAAATAATGAGTTGTCAATTTTTTAATAGTGGTGAGAACAAGATTTGGTCATTTTTCGTTTATCTAGTAGAAAAATAGTTAATACCAGTTCCAAGGACCAAATCTTATCTTCACAGTTGAAAAATTGATTCATTCCATTAAAAAATAATATATTTGTTTTTATATTTCTCTTTGAAGAGGACAAGATGCTTCCTCAATACTTTTCTAGAAAGATCATTGGGATGGGACGACTAAAAAATTAAATACTTGAGTCGTATTTCCGAAGGAAAGGAGGGGCATTAAAGTCTTTTGTCATTTCAGCAAGAAGATTTGTAAGGAAAACATATTGAACAAAAAAGAAAAATGACTTGGCAAAAAAACTACCCTGATTTAGTAAATGCCTAAAAAGTCCCTTCGTGTAATGGATATGTTTGATGATTATTGAATGGTGATGACTGACGTTGTCTTTGCCGTTTACTGACGGTGTTTTAATTTTTCACGCCAAGTACTCGTTAATCAAACATATTCGGTGGCAAAAATGTAATTTTCTTGAAGATTAATATTGAAATTATAATTACTTAATACTGTCACTTATAAATTTTAATAGAGAGCGCACGCTGGAACTGGAAGAACAGCTACGTTTATCCGAAGCAATGGCGATGGCGGTGGCAATGCGTTGCTCTTGCTTCCTTTCCCGCCCCAATTCCCCGCGATCTCCTCCCTCCGATCACTTATCAACCAAAATCTTCTTTTCCGGTTAGTATTCTGCTGCTGTATAAATCTTTTCTTCGTTCTTCATGTATTCTCCATTCATTTTAAGTTCAATTCGAGTCGGAGATGCTTAGAACCACAACTTTTACCTTGAGTTTTTTATGCTTTGAACTTAAGGAACATCTTCCGCCGATTTTGGGTTAATAAATTAGGGTTTGAAGTCGTAGTTGGAGGGATAACTGACAAATTAAGGAAGCAAAAGATTTTTCTATCCTAGCGTGTTTATAAAGTTGAAGCTCGCAAATGGACTTGTACAGTTACAAGTTCGCGTAAAACTAACTGGGTTTTTGTCCCCTTGGAGTTTTGACGCGGAATTCGATTAAGTGGCTCGTGGGTACTCATTAAAGGGGGAAATGGGATTAACTGTACGTTACATGAACAAGCTGACTGAAAGTTGTGTGTCTTTATTTATGGCAGGGAAAATGCCGCACATTTCACTCAATTTGGACAATGTTGTCACATTTTGTGGAGAGAACCTCTGCAGACCACTTGGGGTAAAGAATTTGTTGCCGCTACTTAAATGTCAGGTATGATGGTGAGTTTCCAGCTAACCGTTTTGAGTTTGGTACAATAGATTGTGATACTGTTAGTGTTTCTTGTTATGCTTTTCGGTATATGAAAACTTCCAAGTATGTGCTGTGTTTTATGTATAATACGGAAATTAAAACTGCGCTAATTTAACAAATTGTGGTTGTGATCTCCGGTCTCCCAATTATAAAAAATGATTTCGAACTCTGCTGAGTGATGGAAACTATTAGTATTTGAAGTACAAGAACTATGTTGGGGAACTTCATTATCCACTACTTTCTTTGCTAAGCATTCCTGGGAGACCTCTCTCTCTTTGCCCAAAGGAATGGTACCTCTTTTTGTTATATTTATTACTATGTTTTTGGCCAATTGAATATGACATTGTTCTCTGTTAATAGATTTCTACTTTGCAGGGAAACATTGAGACGAGACTTCCAGTTATGGCATTTCTTTTCACTAATGTCTTTGCATTTTCCATACCATTGAAAGCTTTGGCTGAAACATGCGAGGCTGAAAATTCTGGTTTCAACATGCCAATACTTCTTTCTGTCGCCCTTGTAGGGGCAACTGTTGGAGGTAAGACTTTTGGTCCTTTCACACGTGACTAAATTTATTGTCCAACATGTTGTAAAAAATGTGGAAGAGAAGTAATTTTTTGGATTTGCTACTAGATTTCTACTGTATCCCATTGCAATTATCCTTTATTATCTATTTGTGAAAAATGTATATTTCTAGTTTGAATTGAGAATATAAAACTTGTTTAATTTATTCAACTTTTTAATAGGGTTGCTTGCTCGGCAAAGAAGGGGAGAACTGAAGCGGTTAAATGAACAACTTCGCCAGATTAATGCAGCACTAAGAAGGCAAGCAAAGATTGAATCTTATGCTCCCGCCTTAAGTTATGCTCCTGTAGGTGGAAGAATTCCCGAAAATGAAGTTATTGTTGACCCAAGGAAGGAGGAGTTGATCTCTCGGTTGAAGTCTGGAAAGAACTTTTTGAGAAATCAAGACCCAGAAAAGGCATTTGTGGAGTTTAAGACTGCTCTTGAGCTTGCTCAGGTTTTAAACGATCCTATTGAGGAGAAGAAGGCTGCAAGGGGTTTAGGTTTGTTTTTTATCTCTTATTTTCGTTTCTTGCTTCCTATAATGCTTATAAGTTATTAGACAGTATCTTTTTATCGATATGACAAAATCATTAACTCTTTGATATCTAGAATATTTTATTGGGAGCCATTTGTCAAAATCATCCACATGCATTTTTAATATACGTAGTTCTCTGAGTTCTCTATGTTCATTCGATTCATAATTAAGGCGAAGGCCTGTTCTTGTTATTTTTGTGAAAATGCATGAATATTTTTATTCCAAGTAGGTGGTGCCAAGAGATCTTGAGTAAAAATATATTCATTGAATTCGAGGCCTTTAGACCATGTTAAACCCTTTAATTCTCTGCCTACATCTAATGTGATCCATTCACCATGAATGTATGTAAACCACTGCAACTTTGTTGTAATACTAAGCAGCATTCTGGCTTTTCGCCAATCATTCCCTTGTAGTATCCTAAAGTTGTTGACTTCAAGTTTAGGTTATTTGAAATTCGTAGCCTACCGTTCAGCCCCTTCTGCCTAAATCACATACAAAATCATGTTCGTGAACCGTGAGAAGGGTAGATGAACATGTCTGAACATTATGGAAGGCGAAAGGCAACAGTAAGATTGGTTCCCTTGAGGAAGTTAGGTATAGGTCGACCACCATTGGTTTGGCTTAGTAGTCTAAGCCAATGAGGTAAGTGGCTTATAAGAAATGGGTTCGAACTATGGTGACCACCTATTTAAGATTTAATAGTCTACAAATTTCCTTAGCAACCAATTATATAACAAGGTCAAGCAGTTGGTAAGAATATTCGAGGTTCATTGTAAGCTTTTTCGAACATCCATGGATATTAAGAAAAAGTGAGGCATAGGTCTACTGTTTACAGGTCTTGAGATGGTGCAACCCTTCAATTTGAATTTGGAAAAAGAAAAACATGGATTATAATGATTATACAGAGGTGAACAAACTAAAAAGAAATCTTGTATCCGTCATTATCACTTTCTGAAATAGAGATTCTAGAGGCCATTCTCCACCACTATCATCTTCAGCACGTATGAGATTGACCCAGCCCTCAACTTTTCTGTTTTTTCCCAAGTGCTTTCACTCGTACGAGTATCTTTTTTAGCATAATCTCTTCTGAATTAAAGAAGGTATAGACTCTGTATCTATAGACCTTGAGGTTAGATGGCTCGAGTCTCGCCTTCAAGCTGTCTTGAAAGCCTTTTTTTGCCACAGATTGATTTCTCTGTTAATCTTAGGTATACAATGCCATTATTATGGTGCAATTGTCGGTATGTTAACACAAATTTGGATTGGATCTTTCAGGGGCTTCGCTGCAGAGGCAGGGGAAGTATCGAGAAGCAATCAAATACCATTCTATGGTTATGGCTATCTCTGAACGGGAAGGAGAACAATCAGGAAACACTGAAGCTTTTGGAGCAATTGCTGATTGCTACACTGAACTAGGCGATCTTGAGAAAGCTGCCTACTTTTACGACAAATACATAGCAAGGCTGGAAACAGACTGATCTATTGCAATCACACTGCAGTTTTTATCCTTCATAATGTAGCCAAGTACTAAGTTTTCGTGAATGATTCGTGGCTCTTCTCTGCGGAAGATTTAGATTTGTATGTAGTTGTTGAGGATAATTGCATGAGCACAACATCATTTTCTGTGTTTATCCCATCTCGGGTTTAAATTATTATTCAAGTGGTTTCATGGAAAGGCATTTTTAATAACTTCTTCAACCTTGCAATTAAAAGAATTGATCTGACCTTTGGAAGGACATTCATGGACCTTTGGAAGGACATTCAATTTTAATATTTAATAAACAAATAAACGATACAAAGGTATCCCTTATGATTCTTGGTATTTAAAATAGAACACGTCCAGTCATCACGAAGGGAATACCAGCCTATTCGAGAGGGTTGGAAAACTCTCCAACATTCGTATCCAAACACAGACGTACTCAATCCCAAGAAGACCCGAGCAAATATATTTCCACCCCTATCGACATCTGTACCTGCAGCTAACTAACTTGGGTGGAAAGTCCCCTTTTTTCAGCTCCTAGAATAGATATTGACAATGGAGGCCTCACACAATACTACAGGCATCTTTCTTTAGTTTATAGACAATTTTTTAGTCAACGTGCATTTTACGTAACTAAATTGAATAGCATAAGTATTTCACAGTCAATGTGCATTTTACATAACTAAATTGAATTGCGCAAGTATTTCACAGTAACTCTAAGTTTTACTTCAAGAAAGTTGAAAGGTATTCTTGACCCACTGCCACATAGAACTATTACCTAAAGATCCGTATGGTAACGTTTTCATTTCTTGTTTCTTGTTTCCATTTCTTTTTTAAATCAATAAAATAGAAAAGCATGACTTCCAACACTCATAAATTCAAGAAGAGGATGAAATAAGATATTTATTTATGTCAAATAAGAAACGAAAACAAGAAACAAGACAGAAACTTATTTTGATTGTTTCCAAAAATTTTATACAATTTTGAGAATATTTCTAAAAAATAAAAACAAAAAACATAAGTACGCTTAGATTTCTTAATAAAATTAAAAACGAGAAACAAGAAACAAAAACGTTTCCAAACGGGTGCTAAAAGTAATATCATCCAAGTAAAATCAATCATTAATTTATTTTGAGCTCTATAGTAATCATGAAGAGCCTAAACCCTAAACACCCCCACCCCACTTCCAGAAAAAGAACGAACTGTTGCAGTATGGTCTCTGCTTTCTTTACTGGCTCCTCTCTTTTAGGGGCTGGGGCTGTTGTTCATCATACATAATATTACCCTGTAATAATTCGGTAATACAAGAAGAAAACACAGTAACAGATTACTTTCTGGTTGATCAACCAACTCCCTCTAATATTCATAGCCACTAACCCCTACTAACACACAAAAGAAGAAGAAAAAAGGTGTGACAAACATACTTCCCATATATATGGTGCGCGGAAGGTGCAAAAGAAGAATCTGACCGAGACTCAGAGATAGACCGCACACCGAAGACTCAAATAATCTCAGCAGAAGGCAGTCAACATAGATAGGTTTCATCAAACAAACGATAAGCCATATTTACTACTGGTAGTACATGAGTTGCTGGGCAGCGATATTCTGGAAGCCGCCATCATATAAAGCCTGGCTAGCTGCGGCTGCACCGATTCCCATGGGCGCCTGCTTCAGGGGATGATGCCCCTGAGGGTGCATGAGTGCTGCATGGACACCGCCCATCTTGGTTATTGCTAGTTGCCGTTCATAAGCCAAAAGATCAGTTGCTGAAAGGCCAGGAGTGGAAGCAATTGCCGGTAGTGGAAGTGGATTTGAAGCTGTTCCTGGTGGTGTGGGTTTGTTCCCCCAAGAGCACTGTAAATAAGTATCAAAAAACCAATTGGGTTATCTCCCAAATGAATTGACCTCAGTTTGTAAAAAATCCTAGATTATGTAGCAATTCTTATGTTTCTCAAATACGGATGGTAAAAGTTTTTTTCTGTTCTACTTTGACTCTCAAATTCAGACTTCAAAGATGTTTTCCACGATATTAACTATTAAGACCAAGGAGTGTAATAATACGCATCACAGTAAATAGTGGGAGTACAAGGAAAGGAACAACTTCAGTAGTAAGTAAGCCTGAACCAAAGTATGCAGACAGTCCGAATTGTAACCTCTTCTAGTTGAAGCTAATCCATTCCCAGTGCCCAGAATCAGAAATGGATGTTAGACAACAACCATCGATGAAACCCATGCAAGAAATAGCCGAACTTGAAACTCCTTGTCCATAAAGTGCCTTCTGAAATTTATGTTCCACATTGGAATCTCCATGTTCCAAAGATGAGCAATAGATTTGTGGATTTAAGCTTGTAGAGATTTGGAAAGAGGGACGCACGAGGGGTGGAACATCTCCAAGCATCCTTAAAAAATTTGATATGGAGACCATTGCCAACCAAAAAACAAATTCTGGATGTGCTAAGATTTCTGGCCTCCCATATATCTTTCCAAGGACTTTTAGCCTGATTGTTTAAGTGACAATTAGGCCATCAGTCTGCAGAGGTGGGACCATATTTGGCCAAAATGAGTCTTCTCCAAAGAGCTTCCTTTTCTACAGCAAAATTCCAGCTCCACTAGGCAAGAAATACCTGATTTTGGAATAAATCTCACAAACCTAGGCCACCAGAGATGATGGGGCAAGAGTACTTTTCCAGTTGACTAAATGGAAACTCATGGTAGGATTTTTGCTCTCCGAATAGAAGATCTACAGAAATTTCTCAATAATGGAGACGACTTTCTTGTTATCTTGAAAAGGGATGTATAGTAAAATGGGAGGATTTAAATTTAAGAGGGAAGCAAAAATTAGGGTGCCTACCACGTTTGGAGAAAGAAGAGCTTCATAATCTTGGTTTCTTTTTTTCTTCCCAATGATTGCTTCCAAAAGGAAAGGTATTTGGGGGTGTCATTTAAAAGGGGGAGGAGATTCCAACATTACTCGATGGTCACATGAAAGATATCCAATGGGCATTATTACAAGTACGACGAAATTCAATGGCATTATTGGAGAGCTTAACTTACTGGACATTCTCCTTTCTAATGGTAAATTTACATGGTCTACCATGGAGATATCAAAAGCAATCTTTGTTAGACAGATTTTTTATCTCCAAAGGTAGGGAGATTTGAAATTTTAAAATTCGAGAGCTTCCAAGTTATCTCGGGCGGTTTCTGATCACTTCCCTATTCTCCTTGAAGCTGGTAGTTTTTTGTGCGGACCTTCTCTGTTCAGATTCTATAATTATGAAGACTTTGAATGAGGATATTTCCTTCGGATGGGCTGGTTTTGCTATTCACTCTATGCTTCAGAATTTCAAAACAGTTCTTAAAGTTTGGAATCTCAGATTTGAAACGTCAAAAAAGGAAAAGGAGTCTTCAATTCTCAAGGAAATCAGTTTGATAGATTCAAAAGAAAAAGCTGGAAGCCTGGAACCATTGATCAAGAAGATATCACTTTGAGATCACTCTTCAAATGCGTATTAAGCCTTCACTTTGGAGGAAAGGAATTTAATTCAGAAAGGCAAGCTTCAGTGGTTAAAAGGGGGTGAGAACACGAGATGTTTTCATAAATACTTGGTAGCAAAGAAGAGGAAGAGGTTAATTTCTCATCTGCACTCTATTAATGGGAATCTTTTGGTAGATTTTGGTGCCATTGAATCAGAAATTACTTATTTCTTTTCATCTTTACACAAAAGAATTCCAGAGCATCGTCTCTTTCCAGCTAATTTTAATTGGAAGCCTATTTCTCCAGCCATGAGTGCCCAATTGATTTCCCCGTTTCTTTCCAGCTAAAAATAAAGCTCCAAGCCCCGATGGAATCACTATGGAATTCTTCTCCAAATTTTGGGATGTCTTAAAGCCGGATTTCATCAGACTATTCCAGGAATTCTTTAAAAATGGGCATGTGATTTTCTGAAGGAGAATTTCATCTGCCTCATTTTAAAGAAAGAAACAGCCTCTACGGTCAAGGATTTCAGGTCAATTAGTTTAACTACATCCACGTATTTGCTGAAAAATTAAAGTCAGTAAGGAATTCTACAATTTCTTGTACTCAGAGTGCTTTTATAGAAGGATGACAAGTTCTAGACACCATTCTGATTGCAAACGAAGCAGTGGAAGATTATAGATCAAGAAGATTGAAGCAGTGGAAGATTATAGATCAAGAAGATTGAAATGCTAGACTTTGAAGCTCAATAAAAGAGACAGAGGAGAAAGGCTGTTCAGGGATGGGGGAATTTTGAATTCTGATCCATGTAGTAACATCGTTTTCAATCCATTTGAATCGGCATTTTGTGGGGGAATCATTCTTTATTATTAATATTCATGGGATTCCATCTCAAAACTAATTGGTAATGAGAGGAGTAGCTCATACCTATTATAAACCAATGTAAGGTCGGTCCTTTTTCTTTTCAATGTGAGATCCTTAACATTTATAATCTCATTGAGAGAGCCCTTTTGGTTAGTGGTTTCCTCAACCCACGGAACATATCCTTTTTGGAGTTTGTATCCTTGAAGAACTCTTTGTTTATTTTCATTCATCAATGAAAATTTTGTATCTTGTTCAAAAAAAACAAAACGTAGGATCCAGTATAGTAACTGGAAAATGGGTTGGAGAGCCAATGCACACCAATCCAACGAATGAAAATTGAGTATGTGTTATCTTTACCCAGTTCTGAGAGCCTGACCTTGCCGCCACCATGGGCATTACCAACTTCAGTGCCTAAAGAGAGATTTCCACTCAATCTTGGTGGAACGAGGGACGAACGTAGGACAAGGAAAAAGGAGCAGAGGCCATGAAGAACGTGGCAAGGAACTAGGGGGAAGAGAGGATGGATGGAAATTTCCAGGAGATCATAGAAGATTAGATGTATTAAAGACCTGGAAATTTGACAGCTGTAATTGAAAATGAAAGATAGCAATTGACAGCTTGACACTTAATGACTGTTCAGTAAGACGACGACTATACTTTTTGTGTATGAGAAAAAACCTAAAACAGAAAAGCACTGATTATGCACCCAAAATGGAGCCAACTGTCGAATCTAGAGCATTATGCACCTTCTCTTTTATATTCAGGGGGCCCAATTACATCAGATAAGACCAAAATCTATAGAATATGGACTGTTAAACTGCCAAAAAGTGAGCTCCTTCCCTTAAATGAATCATGATCAATACCATCCAAGAACTTCAGCAGAGTTAACCAGCAGCAATGAATAAGTGACATGCGGTTCATATTTTATTATAGTCTTCGTGATGGACAATATGGCACTTGGCAGCAATACAGTAGCTTCACCATATAAAGCAGAACATACCTTTATTTGTCTGCCACAAAGAAAAGACCGAGTATTGCCCATCTGAATAGCCAGAGCTGCCTCAGCATGAGTATTATACCTCACAAAACCAAATCCTTTATCCCGCTGAATTCGGACCTCCTCTATCACCCCAGCACCTAGAGAATGAAAATGGTGGTGTAGATCAAGTTGAGTGACCTGCAGACAAGGAATAACCGATTCCAAATGAGACAGATACCCAAACAATGACTTTTAGGAGAATGTTATCACACACCCTCCACAAGTGATGGCGTAACACCCCTAAGCATCTTTTCCCCCTCTACATGGAGTCCCGTAATAAAACTTTGTGTGCTAGTGCACATTCTACATGCATGTTAAAGAGCTAAATAGTTTGGTCACGAAGTAATGAAGGTGGTTTCTTACCTCTGGAGCAAGATTACCCACATATACAGTAGTAAATTGAGGATTGTTCTCGGGAGCCTCATTATTTACAGACTCTTTACCATCTTCTGCAGTATCACAGCAATAAATGTAAGCTTTTCAGATCTTACTCTAATACCAATGTATCTTACTCTAATACCAATGTCACAGAAGCAAATATCGAACTTGCACAGAAAGAGAGTTCTTCTGCTTCTTAGTCATATAAATGGATCATAATTTAGTTTTAGGGTTTTAATAGAATAGGAAGGTAAGAATCTCTGCAGTAACTGATGAAATAAAAGAAAGCAATCTGCATGATTTGTGGTCCAGATTCTGTACAAAACTGACCAGATGAGCAATTTGTTAGTTCTACCACGCTTTTGGTATCTGAGCCCTGTTTATCTTCATTCACGCCAGCACCTTTGGTTGCCCAGTTACAACGTATCTGTCTACTCCCAAGCCACTTACCTGAGTGGAAAAAACAGACCAAAAAGTGATCGGATTAATGACTTGCAAGCATAAATCTACCATAGTGACTAGAAGACCCCAAAAGACATTACAAGGGCTGGCAGGCAACCATCAAGGCAAAAGAGCAGAACTAAAACATACCAGTTAAGTCATTGATTGCACTTTGAGCTTCCTGAAAGAGGTGCATCAAAATGTTCATTCTTCAGAACAGAATTAAAGAATGAACAGTTAGCAAGCACTGAGAAGAAATTCAAAACCTGCTGGTTTCGGAAGGAAACAAACCCAAACCCTCTTGATCGCCCAGTCTTCTGATCCCACATAACCCTAGCATCTCTGAAATTAATAAAAGGGTGTGATTAAGTTGCATCGATCAATAAGACTTGTTCAAAAACTCAATTTTTAGTCAAAGCATCATGATAATATTATCTTAGTCTTAACCAAAGAATCTTAAGAAAGGATGTCTATGAAGAGGAAGAGTGAGGGGCTTTAGTTTGGCAGAGATAAGTTCCATTTTAGGGCTATGGTCAGACATGTTATTTTAAGAATTGGTGGAAAGAAACCTGCTACCCTTTATGTCTTTCTGAAGTTTTCTTCCAGCTTTGGAGACTGTCTTTAAGTCTTAACTTTGTAATTGCAGTCGCTTTTCCCATGGAAATTATGGAGTTGTTGACATTCTAGAAGTTTGCAGGATTTCAACAGTCTTTGGTTCATCTCATTTAAAGCTTCATTGTAAGGATTGGCCAGATAGATCCATCGTGTTTAAAAGGCTTGTGAGCTCCTAAAGGAAATAAATCTATGGTTTTTTGTTCGTCGGCCACTCAAGTCTTGGTTGTGTTCTTCAGTTTTTGTCCGATTTAGGTGGGTTGTCCTTTTTTGCCTGACAAGGAAACATGTAGGTGGGATTGTTCTGTTATTGGTTTTTTTTTATTGAGGGGCTTGTTTCTTATACATACTTCTACAGGGAGGTTTCAGTGAGAGTTTTTATGTAACCTTGTATGTAACTTTTCATAATTGCAGTGAAAACTTATGTTTCCTTTAAATTTTAAATTTTATATACACACACAATGAATCTTATTTCCTCGTGTTTAAGGAGCCGTTAAATGGACAGTTAAAAAAAAATACGAGAAACAATGTTTAGTATCTAAAGAAATAGTGCTTACGAGCAACTGGAGTAAACAGAAAAGCATGCAAACAACATAGCATCAGTGACCTCAGGGCTAAGATCACCAACAAAAATGTTGAAATGACCTGCACAAATAAACAATAGTTTTACATGATTGTGGAAATTTTATTTTGATAATAAAAAAACCATTATAAAACCAGTAAATGGAATAATTATCAATAGAAAATCCAACCTGATGTGTCTTCCCTCTGACTGCTAGCATATGCCCAGTTAACTTTGATAGGCTGCCCAAACCTGCCATGTGCAAAATACTTCTGAGATGATACTACAAAATAAGAAGAAGAAGAAGAAGAAGAATTGACGTAAAAGTTTTTAAAAATCCCACAGTTCTACTCACAAATGCCTCCCATTGAGTGACAAAATAGCAAGGGCAGCTGATCTTCGATCAAAGTAGTGGACAAATCCATAGGATGACTACTTAAAGCAGAGCAACACACATGTAGATCAGTATGATTACAACTGGCTAATGGGCTCAAAACATAAAAGATAACAAGCAATTTCTAACAAGACCAATACTAATCTAGAGTTTAATGTACACACAAAAAGACAAACCTTCTCCTTCCTCACAAGCTTACACCCTTCAACGAGACCAATACTACCAAAAACCTCTTGAAGAAGTGGTTCTGTTACTTGTGCATGGATGTTTCCAACATATCTGAATTTTCCAAAAGCAATTATGCAATAAATCAAATGATGAGAGAGAATGGAGAAATGCAACAAGAGAAGATAATTACGAAATCAGCAATACATCTCATAAATTTAGTTAGTGCACAGACTCTAATAATCATCATCAGTAAAATGACTCAAATAATAACAATAATAGAATTTAATCCCAATAATGGAAACCTATGAAACTATTATTGAAAAAGCAACATAGGAAATCTTTTCAATGGTACACAAACATAGTGATTGATAACACAGCTTTATGCAATGGAGGAAGAAATCCAACTAAAAGAAAGAATAAATATAGTTAAACAAAAATAAAAACAAAAAAAATTATGAGGTAGTTAAACAAAAAAATTTTCAAAAAAACAAATCAAAGGATAGTATCCAGGCAAACACTCACACACTGCGGCAAGTACTTGCATCAAAACCAGGAGGTAGATTTCCACTAGGGATTGGCTCAATCTGCAAAAAGAAAGGGTAAAAGGAAAATGAAAAAAAAAATGGCACAAGGGATAAAGACCCTAACCTAGAGGATTTCAACCTAGAAGCAAAAAATGGTTTCATAAGGTTTTCCTATCTAATGCTGAGAGGTTAAAAAAGGAATCCTAACACTTACAAGCAATAAAAATAACCTAATGTGAATCAAATTGATTTTTATTTCAAGTTTAATAAAAATTATCTACTTTTCACAAATTTTGGCAGCGTGAACAGTCCAGACTAGTCCAAATACATATAATTCCACTTTACAAACCTTTCAAATAGTTGAAAATTATAAACTTAGATACATGAATCATTAAATAATATGCAACCACAAACAGACATTTATTCTATTCACTGAACAGGATGACTATTCATAACAACATATCTTCAACAAAATAAGAATAAATTGCATTCACGCCACCCTTATTTGTTTAATATCTTTAGAAAATCTCAAATGTATTTACTGAGAGTTAACTACTGAATATACAAGCTCTCTATTTGCAGAGAAGAAAGCAAAGGACTGTTTAACCATTAACTAAAATACATTCACAAACTGAAACTACTGTAGCAAACCAGCTTGAATGATTATATGGCTAACTAAACCAATGGTTCTAACTTCTACTTCCCGACTACCTCAAATTATATGGAAGAAGTACAGTATTTGTCAGGATACAGCAATCTCAAGATATCATTAAGAGGTTAGCTTAGAGCTACCCTGTCCATATATTTAGCTCTTCCATTCAACTAGCATGCCGGGGAAGAACATAATAAAGAGGAGAAAATGCATAATAACCCTTCTCAGGCTTATGCACATTCAATATTCAATGGCAGCCAACAACACAATGCTTTTCAAATTTGTCAACTGTCTCAAGGCACTTTCCAGAAGGTGATTATACTATGTCCACATACAACACCGACACGTGATAAAATGGTGGTCAAAACATAAAATAAAATAATATTTTTCTCGACCAATTATACTAAAAAAATAGAACTTAAAGGGAGCAAACAAAATAAACCAACTACAATCACATACAATTGAAAAGAAAATACATATAACGCTAGTACACAGGGAAGCAGTCTTATCGCTGTTCCTATAACAACTGCTAATAACAACATTCTGAGAATCGTATCATAATTCACATGTCATCTCGAACCAAAACCCAGCCGGAAAATTTGATTTTATTAGAACATAACCCATTATCAATCATCAAAATATCAACAAGGAGTTAAAAAATCAGCTCAAATTGGAATTGAGGTGATTAGTACTCCGCGATGTGAAGTGAAAACGAAACATAACGCGACACAACATATCCAACAAATGCAGACCCCGTATAAACAAGCAGCAGAAATAAGAAACTATAATTCCACCCAAGGCCCGTATCAAGCTCGTATAAACTAACCCTCATTCGGTTGTTCAATAACACGCAGAAGCAATCAACAGAGTTCAAAATAAACCGCGGAAATGAAATTAAACCAATAAAAGAAATGAGTTAGAAGATTAACAGGAGGTGGAACCTGGGGAGGAGCTAAGAGGCCAGGATGATAGAGAGACTGCTGCTGAAGAAGAGCTTGCTGCATCAAAGCTTGCTGCTGCTGCTGCTTCAGCCTCTGATGCTGCATTTTTCTGTTTAATTTACGCTCTTAAATCACAATAATTTCCCGACAAAGCGATATATTAGGGCTTGGAAACGAGGTGTGTCAACGACCTCGGAAAAATGGGGGAAGAGAGAGAGTGGCTTCAGGGAGGAGAAGCCTAATCACTCGCCTCCCAACAGAGCAGTCATACTGTGCATTTGTTTTTAATGTTATCGGTTTGAATTGACCAATGATACGTCGACACCTAATAACAAAGTCCACCAGTTTTTTTTTTTTTATATATATAGTCCACCAGCTTCTTCTTTCAGACCACATATTTTTTGTTTTTTATATAATTTTACATTTTAAAATGTATTAGATTAAAAACAAAATTTTCTATTACATATATTTTGTTTAAAAATAACAAATAAAAATTTTATCTAATAAAAATAATCAAAACCCATAATTTTTCTTTTACATCATTCTTTTTTTTTTTTTGAAAAATATCATGTTATTTGACACGAAATAAATTTAAATGGTATATTATCATTGTCACATTTTTTAAGTACTAAATTTAAATTGAATCTTAGCTTCTGTCCGTATTTGTTTCAAAAATTATAAGATATCTAGGTATTGTCAGAAGGACAAATTTTATTTCGATCTAAACTGGTCTGGCCGTTAAGAGTTTAAATTAAATGAACTTCATGTTATTTCAAATAGAATAATTTACATTCAACTTTAAAAAATAATAAAAAATAGAAAAAAATAATGCTATCTAGCTAATTGAATTATCTCCTCTCAATTAGTCCATTTAAAGAAAATTATTTTCAAACATTCATATTTAAGTTTATAATACAAATTGGTTCATCTCTCCATGTTCATAATTGAAAGGTTATGTATATAAAAAGTAAAAAAAACAAAAAAAAAAAAAAGAAAATTGTAAAACAACATCTCACTACCATTGAACACAATGTGTGATAGCGCAATGAGAGGGCCTACCTCAAAATTCTATAAAATAAGCAAGTCATCGTTCCAAGGAAATCAATAACAACCTAACTAAGTATAATTGGTCTAGCTCTATATAATATTTTTGTTCATATTTGTAAGTCATGTCCTAAATATCATCATAGTGTCTTGGGCTGGCCTATTTCTTTTTTCTATTTATTTTGAGTATACAGATTTCGTTAAAGAGTCAAATTTAATTTTCATATTTTCTTTAGTTAAAAAAAAACAACGCATTTCAAATTTATGCAAAATTATTTTTCTTYTCGAAAATGTCTAACATATGTTTGATGTTTTTCATGTGAAAATGTTTCATTTTCATGAATTCGTCTGATAATTATTCAAAAGTTCAAATAATGTGGATAAATTAGACCTTTTCAAAACACGTACTTCATATTTTTGGGACATGGATTAGAAGCTCGAGTAGTGTACCGTTTTTCTTCATCATACTATAAATAATCGCAGGAAATCATTTGATAACACGGACTTCTATTTCTCAATGATATTCAACGATCAAGAAAATCAGTTAAATCCCGTGAAACCATTTCATAGCTATTGTGCCACTTAATTTGTATGTTTTTTTTCTTATTTTTACAAACTATTATAGTATGTGACCTTTTAGCATCTACAAAATTAATTATTGTTATAAAATTTGTATTTGTAATTATTTTTTGCTATGTTAGTACTATGTGACTAAATATGGAGTATTTTCTTCCCCGAGTAAATTTGATATTATTTTTTTTTTATAAACAGTAAATTTGTTATTGAAAGTGTGATCTAGTTCTTTTGCCTCCTCTCAAAACATAATAATAATAACAACAACAATAAATAATAATACTAATAATAATAAAATAGCACCATAATTTAACAACTTTCAAGTTTATCAAATTAAACTATAAATTCAAATGAGTGTGACAATTTGACTTTATAATAAATTTATGCTAATTCATCCACTAATTTTAACCCTTAGAAAATAAAGAAAAAACTTACTAATTTTAAAAAGTGAAGTTGGTACAAAATTAAGTTTGGTTAATACATCGACTGTTAAATAATTATTGAAAAATTAATTCTTTTTATCTAAAATCATATCAAAAAGGTCCAAATATTTGTTATATTATTAATGGAATGAAATAGGTAATAATTTTTTAACATTATTCAAATGAAAATTTTATTAAATGGTAAAAGTAGGAATATTTTTTCAAGTTGAAGGTAAATATTAGAATAGTTATCCAATTTTATAGGTCACGAAACAAAATTCTAACATAAAATTGAATTTTCTTTCACAATTCTAGAACTAATAATTGGAAACTATAATTTAATTTATTAAGAAGTTTTTATTTCATCTCAAGGGCCCAATAAACTACTACCAGTGGAAGGAAAAATTAAACTTTTTCTTTAGGAAAATAATTTATTTTATTTATTTATTTATTATTTAGTAAATTGTGGGTTGGATCCCACCCTATTAATTTTATTTTATTTTTGTAAGTACAACAAAATTTCTTTAGGTGGTCTAAAAATTGTTGTTTGCGAAGTTTGTTTATCTCTATCTTTAAATTTTCTAGACAATCACACACATGTGAAATAATTTGAAACATGGGTTTCATTTTTTTGGCCCAATTGCAGCATCAATTCATGTATTAACAACAATCAAGGCTATGATTAGTTAAACAAATCGAAAAGGGCCAAAACACCATAATCAAAAACCCTAAAATTTCATAAAGTCAACTAATAATCACGAGGTATAAATCTGAAAGATAATTACAGAGCTCTCTGTTCTTGTTCATACAAACTGGAACCGGTAGGATAAGAGACATGGTTACGACAATAAAGTGTGTAGTCAGAATTTTGCAGTAAAATTAGGGAGATAAACTTAATGAAGAGTAAAAATTAAAACATTGCCTTCGCTTATAAATTTAGATCAAAGTGGTTCGAAGATTTGTGGTTAGAAGAGGCTGAATATTGGTGCGGATTCACTTGGTATGGCGCTCTTGCTGCAGCCCTGAATAAACCCAAATTACGAAAACAATTAATTAGAAGCAGAATAATATTCAATTTGAGAGTAGAATGTATTTGGAAGTGATGGTAATTGATTTTTCAATTGGAAAATAGACTAATTTTGACAATAAAAAAAAAGATAATTACCTGTCTTTTCTCTTCTCGAAGAATCGGTGGAGGGAAGCTCTTCTTGCAATGGGCAAATCGCCTTGGGCTTTAGCCTGAGGTTGCGGATGGAGTTGTTCTCCGGCGGCGGCGGATCTGGAAGAGAGGGTTGTTGCCGTTCCCTTGCCGGCCATGGCCATGATCTCCTCCGCCCTCTCCGGCGGAAGATCATTGAACACCACTACTTTTCCGCCGTAGAAAATGGTCATCTGCCCGGAGCCCTTCTCTTCTGGGCTTTCCATGTTCGTCAGCAAGTTCCTGATCGCCGCCGGTCGACCAACCGTCGAAACCTCATCTGAAACACAACCACATATTAGAACACGCCTTCAAAATCCAGAAAATATTTCGAATTAATGAATTAATTAAAAGTTTCGAAAACCCAGAAAAAGAAATTAAAGTACCTTTTGGTTCGATTTCAATCCTCGTGACTCCAAGGCTTCTCTTCTCCTTCAAGTACTGGCTCAAGAGATTACAAGTCTGGGCAAAACTGGACTTCTCCGGCTTCCGGCCGGCGGCGTTGTCGGAAGGAGCGGGCATGGCGGCCGGAATTCAAACCAAAGGGTTTTTAGGGAATTTGGATATAATTGTATCAGATCTGAAGGATTTAATTTACGAGTCGTTCAAATTTCCGACGAATATAAAGAGGAGCTACCTTCCTTGCATCTTCCTCCTAAGCTGATTGGTCCTTTTTTTGGTGTCTTTATCTAATTGTCTCTTGAAAATTATATATTTGATTAATTTATTTGACTTAAAGCACGTGTTTTGTTTTGTTTTTGTTTTTGTTTTTTTAATTTTAAAAAGGAAAGGAGAGAAAGCAGGGGAAGGAAGAAAACCAATTATTACTTTGACACCTTAATTCAAGGGGCGAAAGTTGGGGCGGTTTCTCATCAAATGCCTCTATGTCTTTTGCTATTTACGAAATTGCCCCAATCTCAACTTTTTCTTTTTATGCTTTAAATAGTAATAAAAGATGTTGGAAACTATTTCTAAACAAGCAATATTCAATTTCCGTCTTACTTTGTATGTTTTATGTTTTGGAATAAATATATCAAATATAGTTTTATTTCATGTAATAGTTTGAGATTTTAATGTCTTCAAATTTTTACATGGTTAATATGTAAATAATATATATCTTAATTAAAATAAATGTGTTCTTTCAAAAGTTTAGTTGGGCTAGTACATGTCCTCGTGTTGATTTAAATTGAATGAACATGGTTGAAGAATACTTGCAATATTATAGGTACTGATTTTTTTTTTTTGAAAGGGACATTGAATATTTGATGGGATTTCTTTCCAGTTATGTAATAACAAATTTGAAATAAATGTAATGGTAAAATGTTCCAAGGATGTATTTACTCCTTGATGTTTCTAGGGGACGGGCGTGCAATGATCATAACTAAAGGACAATTAGTAACACGTTATGACAAGGTAATTAGGCTATAGCATTGTATCAACATGCATGCCTTTTTTTTTTTTTTTTTGCATATTACTGTGAGTTAATAATCAACTTGAGCATAGATGAACCAATTAAAATATGTATCTCTATCTATACATGTTACCGTACTAAAAAAAATACTATGAGTTGATTTAGCATGTGACAACTTAGATGCCACTATCATACTTAACTAACTATGATTGATGTCTTTTTTAGTACGACACGTTCGAGATGAGAATTTATACTCACTAGTACCTTAACCAGTTGAGTTGCACTCAGGTTGACATTTATGATTGGTGTTGATAGCAATGAGTATCATTATAGGTGGTTTCTAACCTCGTAGTTCTCTTGTTCGAGTGTCTTGCTTAAATCCTTTAGGACAAATCTTTTTATCATTGAGATTTTGTGAATTCAAGTCGTTATAACAAATTAATTATTAGTGAATAGTGCAATTGACTAGTTCAATTAGAGTGGCATGACCTAATTAAGCAGCCTAAGTTAATTGACAAGGAACTTGATAACACCAATGTCAAGTGTGTTGACTTGGTGTTGGGCAGCATATCGTTATTGTAGCAATTTTACCCTAACACAAAAGAGTAATAGTTTTTTATTATCTCTTTATAAATTATAAAAACAAAATTAATAATTAATAGTTAATAGAAATCTTATTAGTTTCAATTTTTTCGCTGTTACTTTATTATTTAAGTTAGATAAATTATTTAGGTAAATAACACAAATAATGAATTAAAAAAAATTCTAATATAAGAGTAATTCAAGTGAGTAGAAGTAGTCTATCTTTTACACAGCTACAAAGATTATCTTAAATAAGATGAGGAATCTTTATTTTAACAGAACCATGAATGAAAAATACATTTGTGATTTCTATTTTGTAGGTATGATTCTAAATATTTTTTTTCCCTTTCATAGTTGAGAATTAAACATTTTGTTTAAAAACTATTTAATTGGAAAATTATTATTATTATTTTTAAAAATAACCATAATAATAAAAGAGAAATTATTATTCCCGCAGGAAGTCGATAATACTAACACAGTAGGTTTAGTGGGCGTAGAGGTTGAGGGTATTTTAGTAATTTAGGAAGACGGTGTCAAAAGCGTGGCATGCGAAAGCCACGGGCGGAGGGGGAGGCGTGCCGACAGTGCCAAAAATAAGGGGGTGGGGCCCACGCAGTGTTTTTTTTTGAAGCGGTCTTACCACGTTTCCTCCGCATTCCCGACCTCTCTCTCTCTCTATTTAACACGTGATTCAAAATTCCACCCTACACCTTCAAAATTTATTATTTTATACACTAAATACTATTTTAGTATTTACCATTAATGAAAAATATTAAAACACACCATTTAAAATGGCTTCTTAATTTCATCAACTCCTCCATTAAAATGAAATGTGACATGGTGTGGGCTCAATTATGCCCTTAAAATTTTAAGAGTTTCATTTTAATCTTTAACATTTAAATCTGTTTCTAAATTTTGACGTTAAAATGAAAATTAAAATATTAATTACACGTAGACATACATGACCATGAGTTGCAAAAATAATCGAACGGCTTCATCACGTCCAAAATAGTGTGCAGAAGTAGAATTGAGAATTAAAATTTCAATCAAAATGGTGGAAGAAGCCCAACATAATTAGAAAAGTCATGCATTTGGTTAAATTCAACTCCTCACTAATTGTAAAATCTCAAACACTGGAAGAGTATAATTAATTGTTAATTTAATAATTTCAAAAGTCAATGGTCAAAATAGGATTTTTTTTAAAACGACAGAAAAGCATAAATATAACATATCCTAAAGTTCATCGGATTATCAGAAAGCTATAACACATGTCCCATTGTATTTCCATTTTCATTTTAGCACAATCGTTATTCTAAAAATATGTTGCTCTGTTGGGTATTTCAGATTTTGAAGGATTTGAAAATCATAACAAATTTCAAATAAATTCATTATCTAGTACCACATGATTTTGAATATCATATTTCAAATCTTATATTTTTAAAAAAAATCAAACCAAAATAGTCGGATTTTTCAAAATTTCGTAAAATTTCAAAGTAAATTACTCATTTAACACTGTCATATTTTAAGTTATAATTAATAAATTTAGATTAAAAACATAGATCAATAAAAATTTCATTTTATTTTCATTTCTAGTAAGCATTCAAAAAAAGAAATTTAATTTAATTAATTTAAAATCATTCTCGTTCTAAACAAAATAAAGAATTTAAAACCATTCTTTGAATTTCAAATCACGGAATTTAAATTCATTTATTGAACTTTTTTGACTTCAAACAAATGGTAAGTTTAAGGTAAAAAATTAAACTTTCAAAAGTTTAGAGACATAATTTTAAAACTACCTTAAAGTTCACGTGCATTTGATATAATTTGACTTTAATTGTCGAAGAGAAACATAACTTCACTTCAAATATGTGTATTAATATGCTAATATAAATATGCATAGCAGCTGATTAATTGAAACAAATGTTTTAGAGAGCATATATTATTTAGTAGAATAGCTATAACTAAAATAGTTATTTAGAAAAAAATCATAGATTAAAATACTTGTTACTTTTTCTTTAATTTCTACAATATCATTTCCTCCCTATTCAATTATTTAATTTTAATCAATTCAATATTACTATTCTTTGTTGGGCTTGTGCAATTTTTCAACCCAGGGGAGTATGAAGATCATATCTATATTTATCTTAATTCTTAATCTATAACTTAAAAGCTTTTTGGTCGATTGATGATTTAACACTTATTTTGATTTTTTTTAAGTAATTATTTCGTATAAAGTTTAAGAATCATGCTCTTTGTTTCATTCATGCATTAACCTAGATGGACTCTTTTTAGAATAAACTAGTACAGTTATGATATCACTGTTAAAAGAAATTAACACAAAAGGAGAGAGACAGTCTCTTGAGGAAATAGACTTTTATTAAGAAAATATACAAATTAACACTCTCTGAGAGAATGCTCTCTCTCACACTCTCTAACTTTCCTCACTTTATTCATTTATCTTAATTCATTCACCAGTGGGACAGACAATGGTCATTGTCTCATCTTAAATCTTACATATTCTGGATGTTTCTTAATCTATTACTAATCTTTCTTGGCTCATCAAATGAACTCTCTAATTTCTTGGAGCCTAAAGGAAAAGCTAACACAGTTCTAGAGTCTTTTCTTTACGTATTTATTTACAATCTTAAAATAATCTAGAGATAACTATTTTTTGTAGGTATTTCTAAAAAAACTTATAGATATAGTTAGTGATATATTTTATTTTAACACTCCCTCTCAACACTAACTATTCTAAGTCCAAAAGTATTTATAATATTTATAATTAATTGTTAATGATATAATTTAAAAATTAATAAATTAGAGAAGGGACAAAAGTGTCCAAAAACATTTTTCCACCATCGTATATATATTAATATTAATATTTTGTTAAGCAAGTAAAATCAAACAACCTAACACATGGTCCTTTATAGTTCCTTTTCCTAAAGTAAAAGCGATGCAATAATGGAAGTGGGTTTGGTAGACATTTAGCAACGTGGCTATATAAAATACAAATATCCTTTTGTTATATATTAATAGTTAATTAAGTTGTTATACTAAAAAAAATAGTTAATTAAGTTATGGCCCTATTTGGCAATCGTTTTAGTTTTTTGTTTTTTAAAAACCAAAAACATACATGTTGGATTGTGACAACTTTTTTCTTCATGTATTTTTAAATAGTATAAATTAAACATGTCCTATAATGATTTTTTATTTGATATCATTTAGACGGTTGAAAAGATATGTTAGAGAGAACAAATCTAGGAATGCAATTGACAAAGAAAATGAGAAAGTTCGAGGATGGAGAGCAACAATGTGGAACAAAGAGAAAAAAAATTATAGCGACAGAAAGTTTAGAAACAAACTAGAAAAAGAAAGGTCTTCTTCTTTCTTTAGGGTGGAAAAGAAAAGTTAGAGATATAAAAAAATAAATTAAAAAAAAGATAAATAAAAGTTAAATTGTTAAAGAAGATTTGAGAAAATAGAGAGAAGAAAAGAAATATATTTAAATAATAAAAGCCATACGACTTTATATGAAAATTTTAGAGAGAAATCTAAATCTTTTAGGGTGGAAAAAATTTGGAGAGTAAAAAATAGAAGATTTTAGAATTAAAGGAGAAATAGATTTAAAATTTTTTTTTTTTCAAATTTTGTTCACGATTTGAAAA